GTGCTATGTTTCCTGCCGAGGTCTGAGCGCCAAACACAAAGTAATTGTATCAATAAATTTCTTCTAATCGTCTTTTCGCTTCTTGTGAGATTGAACTATTATTGTTCAAATTGGAACTTGGTATGAGCTAAGCTAACATTAGCTTCACTGTTTATTTTGAGGAAAGTGAGGTTAGACAAACACTATCTTGTAGTTGAACAGCATTTTTTTCTTTTGTGTCCAGTGTTGATTTTATAACATAATCAGTTGATGACAGCTTCTTGAAAAGAAATAACCTGAAGATGCTTTGCTAACGTTACTAACAGCAACTGGGAAGAAAACAAAAGCTACATGTGCAACTACGGTTCTATGAATCCCTACTGATGGCAGGCATGCAGGGAGCATTAAGCCCCGCCCTCTGGCGGTCAGCAGGGACCAAACAGAACTACTGTCTCATTGGTAAGGTTGTAAAACAGCCAACAGCTGTATCCAGATACTATGCTAATTTGGAATGGTGTCTATACCAAATACAAGTGTTGTCAGCACATCTTTGCTATCGTTAATTTAAAATTTCTAGATTATTTACACATTAAAAGAATAACACCTGCCTCAACCATAAGATATCGTCAAATAGGGTAATAGTTATTTTTTGGTACACTTTTCTGACTAATACAACCAGCGATTCTATTAAGAAAACAAGTTCCATGTTGAATCAAAAAAGGTCAGTTTCTTATAGTTGATAAATATGTTGTACATTCCTTTAATTAATTGGCTATTTTTATTCCCAGTTAATATCTTTACTGAATAACGATATCGCGTTTGAAATGTTAGTAATGTGACAAGCCTACTAAAGAGGCAGAATTTAAGGAAGAGTAACCTATCTGAGACAGTTTTCATTTCTTAGGCTGGTTACACCCTCAAAGTGACAAAATTTAACCAGTGTGCAGAGAAACACGTCCACAGGTGAGCAGGAGAGAATCTACAGGTGCAAAAGCGCAAAGCGTAAGCTCAGAGAGTTAGCATGCTCTCATGCTTGTAATATACTGGGGGCCTCATTGACCTGAATCTAAACTCACTGAACGTTCAAGAGGTGAATGGAGAGTAGGTTTGTTTACAAGCGTGTGTTTTAATAAAACTGCTCATGAGTGTTTATCATGGGTGTGCAATTTAGGAAGAATTCTGACTTCATATGTTAAAGTGAGAGCATGTGGGAAGTAAAGCTATTTTAAAAGACTTAAAATATCTCCTAGTGTATCTCTCTTTGCGTTTTGAATTGGAAGAAAATAAAACATCTTCCTAAAACAAATCAGGAGGAACATAAAGACTCGAATCCCTTCTAATGGAGGACCCGTAGCTAATGATTACAGGTGATCGGCTTTGTCTCCAGACCTGCAGATTTTGTTACAATGGAATAACTCCCTGAACGAATCATTCGTTCAATCAGTAGCAAAGTTACATTAGTGACCCACCTTTAAACCATGCTCCTGGTTTGAATAGGGCCTTCTTTAAGGCGCTGTACAGGTGAAAGTTGAGTCGCTTATACTCTGCAATGTCGTCTCGAACTCTAGGCAGCAGCACTAAGTTGTAAAATCTCTGGGCCATTCGTTCTTTTAGATTAGAGGAAAAGATTCTGCAACAGAAAATAATACATATGTATTGCCTTGTTAAACCATCCAATGAGTTTTTTAGATACAAACATGAAAATGAAAAAAAAAAAAGAAAAAAAAAAAAACTAAATGTACTATAAGATCACCTTGTAGCTTGGTACATGGCAGCTGCTGTCCAGGTCTCGGGTTCAGTCAAATACAGAACCTGCTCCCAGTTTGAGAGCGCAGGGATGATTTTAAAAGCTTTTGGCAGTTTGCCGCTGCGGTACTTTGACAAAACCTGGCAGAGGAGATGAGAGTTTATTAAGTTGTTCCTGGGTTTACATTAAACTCACACTTAGAAACAGGCTTTTAAAAGCAAACTAACTGAGAATAACGAGGGTTTGGTTGAACTGAATGACAAACATGATAAGGTTGATGAATATTATAAAGACAATAAAGCTAGAGATAAACAATGACTTTATAGAACAGTGCTGATAACTCTCTAATTTGGTTTGACTGCAGACACAGATACTTAAGTCTATCTAGATATTTATACCAACAGCATGATTTTATTTAAAATCATTTCCAATTAATACTGACACTTTTTAGCAATAAATCAACTTGGCTGCAGTTCCTTTATCCCCTCAACAAGAAAATGGCTTTAGTACAACAAATAAGCTAATATATCTTTGTGATATCGATTTTCTATTGTAAAAATGTTTAAATTTGTCTGTACTAACTTTGCCCTGATTAAAAAATAAATAAAATCTATACCAACCACCTGGCCTTGCAACCCAAGTTTATACCATTTTTAGAAATTCAATCAGGGGTCACACTTTGGACACCCCTGACCCGGGGACTCCAGAGAAAAGCAGCTTCGTTTTCAACCATTCGTCCACATTTCAGACAACTTACCTTACTTACACCTTTGTACACCTCTATTATTCTTGGGTCCAGCTGGGGCATCGGGTGCCCTGACACCTCAGACATCACTGTCCCCACCTCAGTCTGTTTCTCTGTGATCTTCTCCATGATGATGTCCGCCAAGGTCCTCCTGCAAGGATCAGGAAAAATAAAAAATAAGAAAATTATTAAAACCATCTCAGTGCTGGAGGAAAAATGTAACCTAGCAGTTAGCTATCCTAATACAGAGAGGTGGGTTAAAAAAATCTGGTTAGTCCTTACCTGACTGGAGGGTTCTTATTCATGAACATCTCAATTGCTTTCTCATCATCGGGGTCCACAACAACTTCAGCATCACACTCTGCATCGGCACCACTGGCACCTGCTTCTCCCAGCGCTGGCCACTCCTCATCTGAGTCTGCATCCTGAGAGGCGGGGCCTTTAAGGGGATTACAGAGTAACAACAAGACATTAGGTAGTCACTCAATATTATCCTTTGAATATTCCTCACTTCCCAGCCTCACATTTTTTAAGATTGTTTTCATAATTGCAAGAAACCAATCTAAACATTAGGATAAGAAAGTATTTGACTTGTTAAATCTTATTATTAGGACTTAATAATACATTTAGTTATATATTATATAAGTATACATAATGTGTTAAATTATCTTTTTTAAACCGAAATAAGTTTTTCATTCAATCATGTCACACATTATAAAACAACAATGTTGCAGATGAAAAGTTTCAATTTGTTAACATCATTTTCAAGTATTGCCACAGATTTTGCGCTGGATTTAGGTTCTGAATGTCATGCCCGATCACAACCATGTAGGCGAATACTACAGTACAGCTCATTGGTGAATGTGTATGGTCGTTGTCCGGCTGGAGGTTGAATCAGAATCAAGTTTATTGCCACGGATTAACGGACCGCTGTCGGAATCCGGACCCAACCTGATTTAAAACATTTATAAATTACTGGATGTTGTCTAATTTCACTGCCGCTGCTTCTCCTGTTTGTACGGTAAAACCCTCCAGAGCTTCTGAAATCAGGCTGCATGTGATAAAAATGAGCCAATGTGCTTTGTCAATCAGGGCTGCTGCTACTTTCAGACATAACGGGCAATCCTTTGGTAACCCAGGCGATGACAAAGAAGGAGAAAACGACGAGAAGAAGTGAAAGAAAGTGTGTGGACTGCTGTAAGAACTGTGGTAAACTGGTGACAGAAAAGTTAAATGGTGTGCTCAAAGATGACCACGCAAATTTTGTGTATGTTTGGCTCAACCTACTGCTGTGAAGCAGGATTCTTCACCATGAACATAACCAAAAATAAGTATTGATTCAGTCTCAAAATGAGCACTTTGATATGTGCTTTAAAATTGTCATCAATCAAACCAAGGTCTAAAGCCTTGCAGAGCAGCCTAAAGCCAACTTCTCCCATTAAGCCATAAAAGAAGAAGGAAAAACAAACAAACGGTCAGTTCAGGTGTTTCATGAAATATGTGAATCAGGAAATTGTCTATATACCAAACTGAATGATTTTTGTTCTTTACTTAAAAAAAAAAACACTTTAAATTTTAAAATGTAAAAAAATGTTCTATATTTTTATTCAAAAAGTAAATGTATAACATAGGGCAGAAACACCTCATTTTATTTTAGTGTTAAATTATATTTAAAGTAACAGATTATAATTTAAATGTCTCTGGACCTTTACTTTTTTAATTGGTTAACCTAATTAAATATATACCTCTGCCTTAAGTCTATTTCCTTACAGGATTCCCCTGTAATCAGCTCTATACCCACATTAACTCTGACCAGCTTCCCTGCAATAGGAAAAGAAAACAGCAGCATGGAGCTGCCATGATGTTTAGCTGGAGGATTAAGGAAATCTGTGGTATTATTCCCACTACACATTATATTTAATATATAAATATATTTAATAAATTAAAACCTAAATACTAAATCGATTAGGACAATGATCATAGAGATGTGCACATTCTGTGTTTAAATAAGGCAGCACTGTATGTAGTGTAAAAAGGCCCTCTAACCCAGAACAGTGAGCGGCTCCTTCTTCTTCTTCTCCGGGGCCAGTCCATATTCAGTCTGAAGCTCCTCCTGTTGGATCCGGGCCTGCTGTAAGATCTTCCTGGACAGGCGCTCGTCCACGTACTCATCCTCATTTTCTGTCCGGACGTCTCGCCCCTTCACCCGGCCTCGGGCTCGGATCGTGTCCGCTTGCAGGATCTGGTCTGCCAGCGCCACTGCCGCTCCTCCGCCGCTCTTTTCTCCTCCTCCTTTGGATTTCTTTACTTTGGGCATGACTGTAAAAAATAAAACTCAGACTGGAACAATAATAGAACTTGTCTTATGTTAGCATTAGCGACCTAATCTATAAACACAGCTTGGCAAATAGTGTAAACACCATGTAGCGCGACACGTGCAGACGCCGAGCTCAACGGAAGTGACGTCATTCTCGACCTTAAGTTTAGCGAAATAATACATCGATTAAAATTAATTGGAAACGATAATATGCAAAATAAGTTCCCAGAAAAAAGTAAAATTGATTTTTTTGCATTTATTTTATCATTATCATTATAAAAGTTAATATCTCTACATTTTATTTTTTTGTGACCCGGATATACTTAAATCCAAAAGAGGAGACCGGAAGTTATCGATGGGGGTAACATGGTAAGCTCCCAATTTACCTTTTGGCCGTGTTTTATACATATATATATTACTTTTAAATTTGTATATTGTCTCTCAAGTATTAGAATGTCTGTTTCTCGGTCGCGGCGCTTTTCTTTGGTGACTCATTATGAATAAAACCAGAGCAGTAGACCTCGCCTGGCTCCTCGCTGCTCACTCTCTCTGTCCTGCAGTGTGTGCCAGGTTCCTGTGGTGGAGGGGAAGAGTGTGCAGCAGACAGTGGACCTCCTGCACAAAAAACTCGAGCAGCTGGGGGCCGTGAAACATGGCAGCTTTTGTGTGGACTGTGAGACATACCAGTCTACAGGCAACGCAGGAGGTAATGTTCAGCATCATGCATTTCCTTTTTATGCTTAGGGTCAGTTTCCATTTCGGGGACACATTTTCACCAAAACATGCCTGTCTTGAGATGCTGCAACATTCATCCATTTTCCTTCATGAGAATTTAGAGAAGGCGATAACCTAACACTCATGTTTTTGGACTGTGGGAGGAAGTCGGGGTACCCAGAGAGAGCACACAAATGTTCAAGGAGAACATGCAAACTCCCTGCAGAAAGAATCTGGGCCGGGAATCGAACCCAAAACCTTCTTGCTGCAAGGCAGTAGTGCTACCAACTGGATCACTGAGCTGCTCAGATGCAACATTTCTGTATTATTTTCTACCTTGATTATGCCACATTAATCTCAGTTTATTCTGAGAGCTTAAGTGCACCAGAGTGCAACTCATATAGAAATCAAATATATGTTAACTGTGGTAACCCTCTCAGGGCTATGAGTTAGCCAAAAGCATACAAAAATAAAAACTTTTTTAGTTGCATGGTGGACATACTCTTTGCCTTAAAAAATGCCCCGTCCATAATTAGCAAAAGTTTTGGTTGACTAAGTTCAAATTCCGTTTAACAAAAAAATTATTCTGTCAATTAGCATTTGCTTTCTAGTAATAAATAGAGTAATTTAAAAAATTGTTGACAGATTAATCAATGAGCAATATAATTCCTTGTTGGAGCCCTAAATGGCATGCTCCTAGACTATTCAAGCTGTTTTTCAGGCGTCTGGAAATTGTCCCCAATGATGATGTTTCCATAATGTAACTCACCAAAACAATGTGTTTTAGGTATTGCCTTAAAACGTATCTGGTTTGCCTTCATTTACCTGAAATGTTGTAGAGCAAACAATGAGAAGTTTAGAGTCATCAAGTTGAGCTAATTGTAATTACAACAATAAATTTGTTAAATGGAAATTTTTTTGAAAAAAAAAGAAAGTTTTTTACACATCGATAAGGTGTTTTTCCAGTCATATTGAAATTCTTATATTTGCAAAGCTGCAAGGGAAACTATTTTTTTGCATCACACGAGTCACGTGATCGAATACTTGACCTGACTGCGCTGTAAAAAGACAAAGAAGAAGGCCGGAATAGTTGGAGGATGATGGCGCCCTTAGAACCATGGCTGAAATTTGGATTCATCTTCTGTGTTTACACCTGAAGCTGCCGTTTGTTTCAAGTCTTATCACTGGAAGAAATATGTTCATGTGCAATTATAAGTGAATTTCTTATTACAGGAAAAAAAAACAATTGCGAAAAAAAAATAATAATTTCAAGATAAGGAGAATATCGCCATAGTTTTGCACACATTTGTAATGGAAGCTATTGTATAAAATGGCAGTCATCTTTGTGTCTTTAAAATCTGTATTTTATATTTTTTGCCTACTGTATGTTGTTAAACTGGTTCAATTCAGTGATTACTAAAATATATTAGTAATTGGTAGAGTGCTGCTATTGAACCTGAACCGCAGAATATGTGTTTAATCAGATTAAAGTTGTAACGTTTTATAACGATTGAAGCTCTATTTCTGATTATAATACTAAATAGTGTCGAAGTGATTTTGCAGGTTAACTTTGTGAAACCCTTGCCTTATTTGTAACAGGTCAGCCCTCTAAGCTCTTATACGTGATGCACAACTCTGAGGTTCCCCTGAGCTGCATGGCCCTGTTTGAAGGAGGACCTTGCCTGACAGCGGACACTAACTTTGACGTCCTCATGGTGAAGCTGAAGAGTCATTTTCAGAATGCCAAGGGACACAAGGTGGAGTGTCGGGGTTCAAGATATCGCTACTGTGACTTCTTGATTAAAGTCGGCACCGTCATAATGAGCTCCAGCGCCAGAGGGATATCTGTGGAGGTATGGTCAGAATGGAAATTAGCAGGAAATGACACGAGGTTTTCCGTTTTTTTCCCTTTATTTTAACTGAGAGTTTGCTTCTCACAGGTTGAATACTGCCCCTGTGTTGTCCCAGGGGACTGTTGGAACCTCATGAGGGAGTTCATGCAGTCTTTTCTTGGCAACAACGTTCCAGAACTTCCAACTGTCTTTGCTGCCAAACCTGAGGGTCTTTTTGCTCCGGCAGACTGCGTTGACACAATGACTCAGTACCTGGAGTTGTTCAACAAACTTCGTAAATTACAGATCACGGGGAGCAATGTCCGTTGATACTTTAACTTTTTTTTTTATTGATGCCTTTATTCTGGTCCTATGGATCAGCTTAATATTGTAGAGGTGATGCAAACCCATCATTCATTTTTCTGTAGATTCAACTGCGCATTAATTTCCTTAACTTGATGAATTTCTTTTTTGATAAATAAAAAAAAAGTCAATTTTTTTACTTACTTTTGTTCTTTTTTTTCTATCAATTAGACTGTAAGCTCATCTATAAAATGTTTATATTCTGTATTTTGTAAAATAATAAAATCTTGCTGTTCAGGTTTCATAATAATGTCCTGAAAGGAGGCCCCTGTGTATAACAATGTGACACAGGCAGGATTCTTTGTATTTAATATAAATGTTTTCTTTTAAACAAACAACACTAATAATGTTTGCTGGTTAACCAAGCAGAGAAATTGCTGATCTGATGAAACGGTTCGAAACCTTATTGATTGGTCACATTTTCAACAGTCTTTTCTGGGAAAAAACTGGTCCAGATGATCTTTCCACAATAATCCATCCTTTCATAAACAATTTCATAGATTGTAAAACTAATCAGAAAGGAGGAATGCCATTAGCTAAAAGATTACAAATGTACTGACACAATGAAATCTAAAACTATTTCCATTTTTTTTCACACCAAAGTTTAAAGCTGGTAAAGAATATTTTGGACTTCATTACAAAAAGGGGCGAGTGTTCATACATTTCCATGGAGGGATAAACATTTTGCATTGCTTTGCAGAAGTATTCATGCTACTAGATTTTGCTTACATCCTGTCATGTTGCTGTCTAAAAAATGTATCTTATTGAAATTTTATCACCATAAATTTCTACTTTGTAAAGTTATTGTGTAAGCTATTTGGAGTCTAAGAAGTGTAGCATGCACGTCTTTAGGTGTACCTTTGTATTGACTTAGCACATAAATAGACTAAAATTATTTAAACCAAATTGCTCAAGTCAAAGATATGCTTAAGCAAGTGAAAAGCAATTTTTAGATAGAACATTTCAAGTATTATGCAGATCTGTTTTCACATTAACACTGAACAGCATGCCACCATTGTATGTAATATAGGATAGTATATTAATTCTGACGTTGTGTAGATATCTGCACCCCTTTCAGATATACACAGAGGCCCTTCTCTGTTCTTCTCTCCTCAGTTTAGATGGACAGCCATTCTTTATGTGCTTTACACAACCTGTTTTCAGATAATGAAGAGCACTCTGAGATGTTAAAAGTGATTTTTTTTTTTAACAACTTAACACCTGCCTACTCAACCTACCAGACCTTCAGGGAACAGCTGTATTAGTGCAGAAAATAATGCCTCTTTACTACTAAAAGAGATTGGGTGCAATAGATTTTTTACAGAATATAGCTTTCATTAAATCAGTTGGAACTTATAAAAAACTATCCTTTTTTTTCTTTTTTACAGTAATTCCTGTAAGTATGTTAGTCTAATGCATCAATTTTCAATATAATACATAAAAAAATATTGTGACAATGGGTAAAAACGGTTCAGGAAGTATGAATGCTTTTGCAAAGGGCTGAATATACTTATGTATAATATATATACATATATAACTGTATTTGCTTTTGTGTTTTTTATCTAATGCAGCACTAACATTGATTATGACAAATGTATGCTGTTTTGTATAACTGCTTTTTTTTTTTTTACATCTATTTTCTGTTTGTAGTTCAAATTCACACCTGCTTCCTTATAGTGGAAACCGTTTTATTCTAAAATTGTCATTGTTACTTGAAAATAATGGTTCAAGAAGGTCATAGAAGTTGTTATTAATAAGATATTGCAATGTATTAAGTCTTATTTGGATAATTGCCAGTTACCCATTGTCTAAAGTAGTTTGTGAGAACAGGGAAACATTGGTGCTGCAACGTAGCAGCTTTGCATTTATGACACTTTTTGTCAACAAGAATCACTAGCATTGATAGAGGGCTGGGATTAGAAGAGAAATCTCTTCCAACGTCGTGCACAAGTTAGACGTTTTATCAGGTATCTGAAAGGCCGGGAGCGGGTCAGACAGCCGCCCGGTCCTGCAGCCTCCATAGCGGCTCAGGGTTATTGTTCCATGTGGCTTGTCGGTGGGTGGACGGTAGCATGGTCCGTCCTGCTGCCTGTTGTTCAGCTGCTCAGCCAATCAGAGCTCGGCTGCCCCTGATTCCCTGACCAATCAGAGCCCGGTTGGCCCTGATTCCCTGACCAATCAGAGCAGCGTGGTCTGGGATGGTTGAGAGAGTTGGGTTGTTGAATCTGTTAGGACAACAAGCCGCTGCAGCTTTCTCAGTGTACCGGATGGATGGAGGGATGCTGGCGATGGTAACCTTACTTTTCTTTCGAAATATCAGATTATGCAATTGTATTAAAAATGAGTGCAACCGATGGCTGGCGCCCTTGCTGCGACGTGTCCCCGCAGACGGCACTATGCGGAGAATGTCACCGGGGAGTTTTTAAACGGTTCGCTCGGGAGCTAAGCCCTTAGTTAACGTTAGCGAACAACAACAACCATCAGGGTTAACTTCAATTGTCTTCGCTGAAACACGCTAGCAGCCTCGGCGACGCCACTTCTTATTTAGCAACAAGAAGATAATCGGTTTAAATAACAAAGTGGGGAGCAGATAAAACACAGCAAAGGGGGTTTAGCAGCAGCGGCTAAGCACAGAGCAGAGCCGCTGTAGCTAGCGGCTAGCGGGGGTTAGCTAACTTACTGCTGGCTGGGCTAACAGCAACAAAGTTCGGCTCTCCGACTGTTCTTTGTTCTGGCTCAACATGGGGATGGTTGGCTACAGGCTAGCATGGCTTGGTGAAAAACACTCCGCTTCCAGTCGGATAGCAGATAAAGACACACATAGACTAAGCGAATGTGCTGAAATGTTAAAAATCTGCGTTAATGCGATTGTAATGGTCCATGCAGGCGGCAGCAGGACAACAGAACACGGTTTGTGTGTGTATATCTAGGAAGAGTTTTCCAGTGCAAGAGGGTTCATGGGTTTCCCTCAGTAATATATATGTTTTAGTTTTTAAGCAATGTTTTAGTTACACGGCTAGAGGAGCACACCACAAAGGATGAACATTTCTGTATTTCTATCCCTAAAGTGAAGAATGGTGGAAACAATTATGATAATCGCACTAATCCTTATGCAAAGTATTTTCCTACATTAAATAAGAATGATAAATCACACAAATTCTCATGAACGCTGTTTTTTTAGTAGCATTTTGAAAGGAGCATTTATTGAAAAGAGATACTGCAAATATGTTGATTATGAAAACGTCTTTGGTCCATTTAATTTTTCTTTTATTACTTTGTCACAGCTAATGTTCAGATTGCCAGAAATTTTAATGCCAAGCGTTTAACTGAGTTAACAAGTATTTATGTAAAAAAACCAAACAATTCTATATGTTGAACTTAAAATGACATGATATATATATATATATATATATATATATATATATATATATATATATATATAGTGGCCATTATCAACAAATAAGGAAGAGGTCAATCTTTCTGGAAAAGGATGGGCCGCCACCAAAATTACTCCAAAATGTTTATAATGTGAATTATTCATAATATGTAACGTTTTCTAGTTTGTTATTAATGCGTTTCTTCCAGATGGCCAATTTTTGTAATTTCAGCTTCCATTAGCCCCTCTTCTCTCCTTCCCCTTTGCCTAAATTTTCCACACTGCACTGCTTGGAAAGTGAATATGCAGCGTGTAGCATATATTTGTGTAGTAGGTGGCTGATGGATAGCTTTCAAAAATGTTCAAAAATAGAAATGTAAAAGTGCCTATGTATCTAGTTTAGTTGAATCTCAACAAGAATCCAGCTATTCTGATTAGGCCTCAGAAGTTGGTGTGAGCACTGAACTGGGTATATGATGATAAAACAGAGTCAAGGAACCCCCCAGGTGGTTAAAAGTGAAGTTAAATGCAGTTTAATGATGGAGGAGCTGCAGAGATTCGTAACTAAGGTGGGAGATTGTATTAATAGAGCAACTATTACCCCTCACTGACTATATTACTCAGTTGTCTGTCACAAATGATGCCGCGTGTCAGTGCAGTCCATTTCTCTGACAATCAGTGGATGAGGATTCTTTCAAATTCACGAGCCTGTGGAAATTAATCCATTGACTAGAACAACGGTTTGTTAATATGAATATGACCACTGTTATAACGATGCTTGTAACACCACTCAGTATTTTATGCATCTTAAAAGTCTTGAAGATTGGCATTTAATGAACACTAAAAAGTAGTAGGCATACGAGAAACGTAATTTTACACAAATGATGAATTGCTAGTCAAAGCATAAACATTTATATACCGTTGATGAGGGTAGCTGTGGTGTTGAATGCCAAAATCTGATAACTTTCACACACCTTCCAGTTGTATTTTCCTACTCAGACTCAGGAAATCCTGCCGAGTAGAAAGGGAACGCACCAGAATACCCGTCTGAGGTCGACTGCATGCCTTATAGTGAACATGGTTACCCCAAAGCAGAACAGGAACCTGTAACATGCAGTCAGAGTGGAAATCAAATCATAGTCATGTTAAACTGGCACAGTAAAAATTATGACCTAAATCTGAATCTGTGACAAGATTTAAAGATTGCTCCACGCAGATTAATTTAATCTGCTGGAGCTTGTGCTGTTTTCTAAAAAAAAAAAGTCAAATGGGCAAAATGATCTGAGAAAATGCAGAGCAGGTAGAGATATATCCTAAACAATTGGCAGCTGTCAGGTTGTTCTACAAAGCATTGAGGGGAAACGGGTCCTTGAAAAGTCAAAGCGGTATTCCTTTGTCTAAGCAACGATGACCATAAAATGTTTCTTTTCAAACAGTCCTTTCTCATTAAGTCTTAATCTGCTCCTTTTTTTTCCCCATTCTCCCAGAATGAGTTGCTGCTTTGCTGCAGGACGTGTGTCCTTTAACTGAGGCCACATGTGTATCCGGACAGATGGATCGCTGTAAGCACGTGGTTCGCCTTCGCCTGGGCCAAGATCATTCAATTCTCAATCCACAGAAATGGCACTGTGTGGAGTGCAGCACCACCGATTCAGTGTGGGCCTGCCTCAAGTGTTCCCACGTAGCCTGTGGACGTTTCATAGAGGAGCACTTTCTCAAACACTTTGAGGAGTCACAACACCCACTGGCCATGGAGGTGCGTGAGCTGGATGTCTTCTGCTTTGCTTGTGGAGACTATGTTCTGAACGACAATGCAGAGGGAGACCTGAAACTCCTCAGAGGTGCCCTCTCTACGGTTCGGAGCCCAGGTAGGCGGTCACTGCGCTCTTCCACCGGAGCCTGGGAAGGCAGGGAACCTGCCATGCAGCTGGCCCTCCGCCACAGGAGGAAAATGCTTCTGGGAAGGATGCTCCAGAAATGGATCAACAAACACCAGGAGGTTCAGAATCAGCGCCAAGAGAAACTTGAGGAGGTCAGGAGACAGAAGAGGGAGGTGAAAAGGAAGCTACTGGAAGATCTTGGCAACATTCCCCCCAGAAAGAGTGCCAGGCTTCTTACTCAGGCGCCACGTTCAACCATGACACTCATCCCTCGCAAATTTCGCGAGCCCCCAGAACGCCTACCTCCACCTCCTAAGAAGCCTTCTCTACTCACCCTGCCCCGCAGTGTTCCAGAGATAAGCAGAGCCGCTAGATTGCGGAGATACTACTCAACGCACGCGGTTACACGGAGGAGACGGGCTCCAGGTGTCACCGGTCTGCGCAACTTGGGAAACACATGCTACATGAACTCAATATTGCAAGTGCTAAGTCACCTGCAGAAATTCAGGGAGTGTTTTCTCACTTTGGACCTGTGTGAGACTGAGGAGCTGCTGGCCAAGACCAACCACTCCCAGGGAATGAAGGGGGTGACGGGAGCAGTTGTCAGTAGCGGCACCACACCACTGTCAGATCACCCCCTTGGACGTATGGGTAAGGCGGGTTGTTGGAATTTGCCTGTAAGAGAGAGCGTCCCTCCCTCCCCGCAGGCTGCAGAACTGGTCCAGCCCAAAAAGCTTCGCTGCTCCACTCGCCAGCAAATGTCTCTGTGCCACGAGCTACATACACTTTTCAGGGTCATGTGGTCTGGCCGGTGGACTCTCGTATCTCCCTTCGCCATGCTGCACTCCGTGTGGAACCTCATCCCGGCCTTCCGTGGATACGACCAGCAAGACGCCCAGGAGTTCCTGTGTGAGCTTCTGGACAAGGTGCAGCAGGAACTCGACACAGAGGGGTCCAAGCGGCGGATAGTTATCCCTATCACTAAGAGGAAGCTGTCCAAGCAGGTGCTGAAGGTTCTGAACACCATCTTTCATGGACAGTTGCTGAGTCAGGTGAGACTGTCCATGTATCATAGCAAGTCCAGCTCATCAGATGTTAGTTGTGCTGCACCTGTTAGAGATGCACCAATTGGATCATTTCCGGCCAACACTGGTTCCAGTCTTTGTTTGATGTCCAACTGTTGATTCAGATGTTGGGGATTTTTTAATCAGTTGAGTGTTTCTTGATGCAGGTATTAGTTTACATTTAACAGATGGTGAAGGGAAATAAAATGTCCTTTCCTATCTTTCGGTCTCTGATTTCCAGATCACAGATCTGAGCTGATCAAGAGAAACGGCTGATTTCTGTCTGGTTTATTGCTGCATCTCTAATTAAAACTAGAAGCAGATCGTATTGCTTTATTGCTACAGCTCCTCTCTCTCAGTGAAGCTGTGCAATTTCCATAAAGAAAAAAAATAATACAGATCTCTGCTCCAGTTTTCAGTGTGTTTTATTTTGTGCATCAGATAAATTAATAAGGATCCAAAGGTTGTAATGTCTCTTTAACAGTCACAGCAACAGGAAAAAAGAAAACTATTACCGCAGATCTAAACTTATAAATCTTCACAAGAAAACAAGCATGTTTAGCTTATTGAGTTTTAGCAGTGTGAACAGGCGGTTAGCAATATTGCAGAAGAGGTGGGTTTGCCTTTTCCCTCTTTGCCCACAAAGCCACCTGCACACTTGTAGTCCATAACAACTTCAGACATGCCTTATCATAACTTCCATTTAAAGAGCTTTCATCTTCTATGGTTTTCATAAAAAAAGCTCATAAAAGATTTTTGTTGGTTTTGCTTCTTTAGTAATGCAAGCACCCATTGAACAGATATTTATAAAATTAGTGGATAAAGGCGACCGCAATTTGCGCTGCACCAGGCTCTGCTGGCTGTGAACTCTGTAACAAAAATATGCAGCCGATGCATTCAGTGAGGGGATTACACTAGTTCCCCATGGCGGTGGCGAGGTTCGGTACACCAGCAAATTTTAACTCTGCTCCATTTTTGCAGGACACCATCCAAACTTTGAAAAAAATTCACTAAAGAAAGCTAGTCTTCCTCAAAGAGATTCGTAAATTGATGATTTATGAGTATATTGATTTGGTTATGCTAGTATTTACACGCATTAGATCAATTACTGGGATGTATATAGCCAAAACATAACAAAACAGCACATTGGAGCAGAGTGCGGGGCTGAACAAGACTACTTTTTGATAGTCTTGTCTCAGACTTAAATGCTTTTAGGGCTCTGGGTTTTATGTCAGGTCCAAAGTGTGCAAATGTCATTGAATCTATTTATCTGCTTAATATTGCAGTAAGGCAGCCCTTATCATTTATCCGCCCACCCTTTTCCTGTCTGTGCTGGGAAACTTCTTAAACTTTATTAAGGGGAAGTAGCTATAAAACACCCGGAATGCTACGGGAATATAGAGGGAAAACATGGAGGCTGTGATTCTTCCTCTGGCCTGTGAGTCAGATATCCGCTCTTTCAATGTGAACCTCACCTGAGAAACACACCTTACGCTGCGGGTACAGCTTTGTTTTGCTTCCACAGACAGCTAGGGTTGCAACTAATTATTATTCTGTCGATTTTTCGACCAATTTCAACATTTGATCATATTTTACTGTGGAATGAGATGCGGGACGATGGTCGGTCTCGACTTGGTCTTTGCCCCTAAAAGTCCTACTATTGTCTCTGTTTTGATATACACTGGTCTTGATTACAACACCATGTAGTGTAAATTTGGGATGAGAAGAAAAAAACATTACAACCTATGGTGCTTGTTAAACGATATCTTTACATATACGCACATACACAAACATTTGAATTTAGAGTCAATAATTGCTTCGGATATAATTGTTGTTCATCTCCTGTATTTAGTACGTTTAAGTATTTTTCCTGTCATTTGATTGAATACATTAGATTTGCAATAAGTTTCAAATAAATTGGTAGTTTAAGAAATTGGTAGTTTAAGTTTTTAGATAAGTAATGGAAAATATTCAAACATGTTTGTCTAAATACATGCAAATTTATTGGCATGGTGTTTTGTTTTGTTTTCTCTGTTCCTCTACTGTCTTTAGGTGACGTGTTTGTCCTGTAAGCACAAGTCCAACACGGTGGAGCCATTCTGGGATTTATCTCTAGAGTTTCCAGAGCGGTATCACCATAGGAACAAAGGCTCTGGAGCGACTGCTCACCAGCGCAGCTGCACCCTCATAGAGATGCTGTCCAAGTTTACAGAGATGGAGGCTCTGGAAGGCAACATCTACGCCTGCAACCACTGCAACAGTTAGTAGAACTTTTGAAGCCGCATTTCCATTTTACAACTGAAATTACTGCGGGAAAAAAATATATTCAGTCATGTTGATGTGAAAATTAGTTAACTAGGTCATCTATTACAAAAACACTATACCTCAAAGCCTAATGAGACATTTTGCATACAGCTAAAAAGAATAGAAAAGTACACAGTTTTCTAGTTGGTTGGTTGGTCAGTGGGAGGAACTGCTGCCTGGGTCTTCAGCAGTTTTGGGATCCTGAAAGTAGGGGGGCAGTGGGCTGCTGCCTGGGCAAAGGTTTGGCTTTGGGGAAACATACATCTGGGAAGGCACAGCTCTAGAGCTTCATTGTCCCTCTTCTTCTCCTCCCAACTCTTTTGCATGGAGGTTACCGCTTCCCTGAACTGCCCTTGAGGTAATACGGGTTTGTCCAGGACGTCTTCCTTCTCCTTAGCCGTGTGGTGAGATTCAACTACCTGGCTCTATCCTGCAAAACCATTAGTCCCATAGATCTGCCCATCGCTTGGATCGCCTTATGGAGATGCAGGCAATGATCAGTAATGATGCACACCTCCTCCCAGAGCAAAACATCTGGTGCGGCGGTCATTTGCTCTTCCAGCTCTTCTTAATAGGCCATGAGCATTATTAACAACTAAGCGCAGCTGCTCTGTAGGACTTATCAGTCAGGCTTGACTGAAAACGGTCCGCTCTCGATGGAAGGGCGGGACCTCCCGCTGACATGGAAGTCTTCGGGTGCAGGTGTGTTGCAACGGCCAGCTCGACAGGTGGCATTTGGCGGAGGCCGCAATTTTCCATCCCATCGCATCCAGAACTGAACTCCCAGCAACTGGGTGTTTCTCCTTAAATGACTTCTCCTTAAATGTTGACGGTAGGTGGCCAATTCTCCCAGCAGCTCCAGGAAGATTGGTAGGAGTTGTCTGGACATCTTGCGGGTCTTAGGCGGTCTTTTCCCGTTGAAACACGAGCGGATAGCTTCAGCCTGGACCTCTGGCCACTGGATCTCTAGCATTTGCACATGTCATGCAAGCCAAAATCCAGCTCAGACGGTGACCCGTCATGACCAGATTGTTCCGAGCCCGAGGGAGCAGGTTTTGCAATCCAAATAGACTCCAACTCCGTCAGAGAGCACCTTGTCCCCCTCAATCAGCAAATCGAGCTGGTTCGAAACGAGACCTAGCTTGGGCTTTTAATGTGGTAGTGGGTCCACAGAATCAAGGATTTCTCCCCAGCTTGGTCCGACTTCTGTATCAGTGGATAAAGAGACAGCATGGTTGGCTGGTTCTTGTGTCGATGCCGTAGAGGACATTGCCGGGTCGCTAACGAACATCGTCAATTGACGAGCCAGACGGTGATGAAGCACCTTCAGTGAGGACAAGCTACAGTGTGAGCACTTCTCCACAGACTCGAGAGCTGGCTGGGTGCGTTTCAGACCGAGACATACCACACACGGGGGATTGCTGTCCCAGCTTGACATTTTATTACCACACCGGCAGGTTCATTCCTTGGGGCTCCCCTCCACTTTCGCCGAGGATTTAACAGTCTCCATTATTTAATTTTTTTTTTGGAGATTGGCTGTGAGGCTACACAAAAATTAGCTTGTGACAACTAAGCGAACCAGGTGTGGCTAGGTTGGGGACAGCGTTTCGGCCACCCGGGGTGTAGCATGGGAGTATTGCTACTCGGTGCTGACCAACATACAACCGTGAGGCGGTGCGTTGACGTCGAGTATTACTACTCCTTTTATATGATTTCTACCAGGAAAACGCCTGCGCTTGATACCAAACCAGCTTGGAGCAAAGCGCCCAGTGACCGAGCTTGCGCGCAATTTTTTGGGCTGTTAAGCTAGGCTCCAAGAGAGAGCTAATTAGAAACTTCTGCTCGTTGCGAGAAGAGGTTTTTGAATAACTGTCAGCGCAGTGTCAGCCCTATATGTAGGGGGAGGGACGCTGCCATCTCTGACACTGACAGGCCTATTTTAAGTTATATTGCACATATAACTTATATTTATTAGTTTAAAATGTCTATTAAATGCTTCATTTTGCTTTTTTAGCAAATTTATTATTTATTATTGGCTGTAATGTGAAAAAGGGATGTGAGTACTTTTGCGGGTCCCTAGTTGCTTAGCTTAGTTTTTAATACTTGAAAACATTTTTCTTGAGTTCCAAATTGCTCTACAAGTTCCAAAAAAATCTAACATTTCATTAAAAAATTTTTTTTAGATGCCTGCTAACTAGAGATGCTCACCAGAAAATATAGATTAAAAAATTCAGATAACAGCACCAACATATTGATGTGTGTTTGAATTCCTCTGATAAAAACATCAGACTGTAGCTGCACTAATCTATAAATAATAAATATGTAAAAGGCTGCCGATAAAATGGAGGCAGTAGGTTCAATTCAATTAAGTTTAGTTTTTATTCATTATAGTAAATGATAATCTCATTAGTAATCATTTATTTATTTAATTTATATATTAGAAGTATTATTTATGTATTTTATTTACAATAATTTTGTTTAACTTTTTGTCACTTGTTGGTTTCAGAAAGAAGAAGAAAATCCTCCCACAAACCTTTAGTTCTGTCAGAAGCACGAAAGCAGCTTCTGATCTACCGCTTACCTCAGGTTCTACGGCTGCACCTCAAACGCTTCAGGCACGTTTCCCTGCTTTGTTTTCTTTTTCTTTTCCTGCAGAATTGAACGTACTGAAGGACAGGAGTTTACTATTGTTTCTTAATGCCAATTCTTGCAGATGGTCAGGCCGGAACCACAGGGAGAAAATCGGCGTCCATGTGGCCTTTGACCAGGTTCTGAACATCAAACCGTACTGCTGCACAGACTCAGGTCACTCTGTCCACAGAGGAGGCTACACCTACGATCTGTCGGCTGTGGTCATGCATCATGGTAAAGGCTTTGGCTCAGGACACTACACCGCATACTGCTACAACACAGAAGGAGGTGAGGGAGAAAACACGTCTCCACGTGACGCTGCTGTCAGGTTCACTATTGTGCTTAACTGTTTGTCTGATGTTCCTCAGGTTTCTGGGTCCACTGTAATGACTCTGAGATGAAGGTTTGCAGCGTGGAGGAAGTGTGCAACACTCAGGCCTATATTCTGTTCTATACCCAGAGGTCTGCCTAGGCCCCTCTCTCGCTGTGACTGGTGCTGAGGGCTGCCCTTCACAAGATGTTGTCTCATGCTTTCCCTGATGTCACTTTCAAAGGGTTTGCCAAACAAGATGGTAGCGAAGGCAAATGGGAAGTCAATCATAGAGGGGCATCTCTACAAATTAGAATACAAGAAAAAGTTGATTTATTTCAGTAATTCATTTCAAAGGTTGTTTGTTTAATGTGGATTCTTTTCAAATACAGTTCATATAATCCAGGTATTTCAGTTTATTCAATTATTATGCCTTGTTTAACCCCTTAAGCCCAGAGGGTATTAGTTAAACACTAAAATCCAGTTTCTCAGAAAAAAAAAGTTATAATACTGACTGGTGGATTCTGGGAGCAGATGTATTGATGCAGCCGTAGCTCCATTCTGTCTCTTCATCTCCTGCTCCATCATCACTCTAAAAATACACCAGAAAACTTTCCGTCCTCCTCGATGATTAGAATGCACTCAGCATCTCGTAAGGAGTTTTTGTAAAGGGGGACAGAAGCTGATCACGGTGGATCTTAATTCAGATTTAGTTCTTTTAGATTCAACACATTGAAAGCATTAGCTATAAGCCAGTTGTGGAAGATCTCGAAGCTCTGGCTTTGAATACAGTCCAGTTCAGTTGTAAATCGTTTTAAATTCATGAATCTGCTTTGCTTTAAAAACTGCTGCTTCTGGAACTTTTTCCTTCCACTCAAATTTCCAATGATTTGAACTTTTTTGGTGTTTTACCTTTAAGGTTAAACATTCTTTCTTCTGTCTACTGAATAGCTATCAATTCAACTTGACCACATTATGTTAGCCATAAAAAAATATATTTAATTGGGTTATTGGTCTTAAGTAATATTTTTTATTTCTGAGAGACTATTTTTGGTTTTAATGAGCTGAAAGCCATGGCTCTGTATTTTGTATTGAATCACTGAAAAAAATATCTGATAGATATTCTAATGAACTGAGATGCATCTGTAGTTGGAGATGATAAAGATGGAAGCTTGCCACATCTATTATTGACTGATGTTTAGAAGGTGGATTGTGTCTGATAGGAGGAAAACCTTTTTATAAATGTGGCTGCAGGTTTTTTTTTTCCACCTGCAGGAGGAACTTTTTAGATAATGGCCTGAAGACTGTGTTAGCAGGTCTGTCCTGCTGAACACCAACACGTGTGTCCATGTTTTTAAACAACAATCAGGCTTCTGTCTGGAAGCATCCAGATACTCCACTTTTCTACATTCACTGGCAACATGGATTTTGGCGTGTTTTTTTTCTTTTCTTTGTTTCTTCAACACGTTTTCATATTTTATAAAACACGTTTGATCTCGAGCACTAAATACTCCAAACAGAGCCTCATTATCAGACTAGAGTCCAAACTGTGCTGCCTCCTGTTTTACCTTTTTTAATAATTGTGTAACATCAAATATGGAAGCTTTTAATACTCATCATATGTCATTAGTTTTTCATTTTTCCTCTCCTCCATCTGTGACTCAATGCTGTGTCTTAGGCTCAATACTCTGAGATCATGAATTGTTTTTAGTATTTTGTTTTAACTCCTTAAAAATAAATGGTTAACAAGGAACGATGGTGAATGAAGGGAAGCTGCAATTCTCTGGAGGGGCTGCTGGTCCTACTGTATGTTTGGCTCGATGAATTCTCCTAAAAAGCAGCTCCTCCTGCGGTTTAACGATTTGACTGCTGCACCTCCGTCTAACCTGCTGGCAGATGAAAATCACCAGAAAAGAGCAGAGGATGGTGAATTTTAAAGAATGTGTCTTTAGGAGAGGTACCCATTTTAAAGTTGAGCACCTGAAAGCAATATATTGTACATCGTTCATCTTAACAGTAAAATCAGGAATTCCTCTGCTTATTATGTTTTGTTTTTGTTTTTTTCTACTGTACTGTTTCTATTGAGGTCTTTAGAATTTGCTAGGTAATCAAGAAAACTGTTGTTTGATACGAGTCAAATGCAGAATACATTTGTGAACTCTGTGAAAGTTGGAACAATCTAAATGACGATGAATGTCTTACTTTATAGCGGTCAGATGTGGCCATGCCACTGGCTCTGATCTCCTTGAGTTCTGTCTTGTACTGTAAGAATACCTGTCATAAATGTAATGTTCGTAAGGGTTTTGCCTGACGGTAATTATTAAAAAGACAACAAACACATCTGAATGTTTCTCCTGTTACTTTGGTTTTAGCTGATCAGTTCGATAAAACAGCCCTTGGGGATACTTTTTATTTAAAAAAAAATAAATCTGGAAAATGTTATTGGCTTGGAAAACCCTAATGAGTTCATTTTTTTTTATATTCATTCAGGTTATAAATATTTCACTATATTTGGCATGGATGATGCAGCAGATAATGTAGATCTGTTTGTCTATAGGTGCTGCTCCATACTCTAAGATTAAAAATGTGTATGAATAACTGGAGAAACCTAAGGGCCTTGTGTCTCTCAAATGTTAAAATATATTGAGTAAACGTTAAAATTGGTTATTTTACCAAAAAAAGAAGCTTCTGTCTACAAAAAAAAACAAAAAAAAAACACTATTTTGACAGAACTAAACCACAAAACCTCCATGAGGATCTACTTTATGGTTTCCGCTACAGGACACATGAGCTCAAACATAGTGTACCAGAAGTCCAGCATGGGGGACAGGGATGGGCCTGTTTTGCAGCTTCAGACCCAGAGCACCTTACAGTCTTTTAATCAGCAGTGGACCTCTGTGTATCAAATAATCCTAGAATCAAAGGTGAGACCTTCTATGTGATGGCTCCAAAACAGGGTCACCAGCAGGACTATTATCTCAAAGACGGCAGTAAATCTGCAAGAGAACAGCCGAAAATAGAGAATTCAGTTGGTGTAATGTTCAATTTGAAGTCTGTACTTTCACCTGATTAAAATGTCTTGGCAATAACCTTAAGAGGGCGTCACAGCTGTATGATTATTAACAACCGATATCTAGTTCCATATAGTTTTAAATACTGCAGCAATATTAATATAAATATCTGCCCAGATTTTCCTATTGGTACATCCCTAGATCTTATTGCTACTGTCTAAGTTAATAATTTGATCAGCATTTCCCAAGCATTAGAAGAACTGATCATCAATAAGCAAGAAGACATTCTGATTAGACTGTTATTGCTGTTCATGGTGCAGCAGCTGCTGACAGAGTTCAATCAACATAATAAAGCAAGATTTTTCTTTCTCACTATTTTAGATGTTCAGCCTCCAAACATCACTTTTTGTATGAGGGGGATTCTCCAACTACACTCAGATTTGGTCATATTTTTCATAAAATCTAACATTTTTTTAGAAATATTTTTATTTGCTCTACTTTATAACATGTACAAACAATTACAGATAGTGGTTGTTATTTAAACATATGTATAAATATTGTATAAATATCTTTTTTTTTTTTACCTTATAGTGTCTAGCATGAGTAAAAAATGACAAATGTGTTTTTGTATTTTGATTGCTAAACGGCTTCTTCCCCACCGCCATCAGACAGCTGAACTGTTGTGAAAACTCTTAATCATGTCACTGACTCTGCATCAACACTGATAACGCCAAACCAAAATACTGCATAATTGCACCATATATATTAATGCTCTGAACTTCCTTATCAATGCGTTTTGTTGCAGCATGACTTTTTTCACCCTCACTGTTTATTTTTGATCACTGCTGCACTTTAAGGAATGGAAATGTCATGAAAGCTGTACAAAAAAAAAAAAAAAAAAATCCCTTTTTTATATACTGTTTGTATACAAAATGACAATAAAAGTTGTCTCAGTATTTCTAATGTTTGCCTGGGACACAAATCCTTTAATAGGAGAATCACCCATGAAGGATCCCCTGCTGTTGGAGTGGATGAGTGGCCCAAATATTGTCGTATCATACATGGTAGTTTCCTGTTGCCACACATAAACCATTCATCCATATTATGGAGACTCTCTGGCAGTCTATTGGCAGGAGGTGGGATACATCCTGGACAGGTAATCAGTCTGTTGCAGAGACAAACAACCATGCACACACACAGTCACACCCAAGGACAATTTAGAGAAACCAATTAACCCAACAGTCATGTTTTTGGACTCTGAGAGGAAGCTGGAGAGTACCCAGGCATGCACAGGGGGAACATGCAGAAAGACCCATGGCCGGGAATCAAACCTGGAACCTTCTGCTGCAAAGCAAAAGAGCTACCCACTGTGGAACCATTCATCCCAATAAACCTAATCCTTTTTCTGGTACATAACTTTTCTGGTTTTACTACAAAAACATTTCATGCATGGCTTCATATAGGAAATTATTTATTTGTCACATTGTTTTAATAAAACAGCAACAATTGTTTTTGCAAACTGGATACAAACTTTGACATGCCAGGTAATTTGACACGGTGGATAGCTGTAGGTCTACAATGTTAGTAATTGTGAACAGAATCAATTATTTCATTCAGTGTTGTAAGTTTTAACATATTATTATGATTCGGCTATCCCACCCTCCAAATCAAAAAAACATCTAAAAGCACAGCTTTAACACCTGAACAGGGTGTGATAAAAACCAAAAGAACGACTGAGTGAAGAAACAACATAACTGCACTTTAGTTCCTGAAGGAAATGGCAGAAAACACATTTATTGGTCATTAATGGGGTGCTAACTCATGCCAGCTGGATGCATCTGAGAACATGCATGAAAGCACGTAACATTCATGGAGAAAAACAACGTCTCTAATATGCTGCAGCTTCAACATGAAGATTTACAGTCAAGTTGATCCTTTGTGTGTCTTAAATAGTGAAAAGAAAAACTGATTTCTTGCAGGAAACTTTTTTTTTTCTTTTTGGTGATAGCAATGGGTTTTATGGTTTATCATCCACTCCTAAAGAGTTGGATGAAATGAACTGTGGTAACTTCCCAACTTTAAAGATAAGTCCATCTGCCTCTTTTTGATCAAGCTTTTTTTGTGTCTCCTTGTTCTATCACTTCTTAAAGTCTTAAGTTTTAGCTAGGCAACAGCCATGGTTCCACATAGTCCCACTGCTTCCACAGGACAAACAGCAGCAAGGTCAGCAGCACGGTGGCGGCCACGCGCGCCCTGGTCTTCATCAGTGGGGTGATGAAGTTGGCCAGAGTGGAAACAAAGACCAGGAGCACGGCCATGAGCGCCAGGATGACGTTGATGAGCTTCCCCAGGAGAGCTCTAGCGTTGGCGTTCTCCACCCCCTCCCGCTGAACCACCTGCTGCTGCTGCTGCTGCAGCTCCAGCTTGGTGATGCGGGTCAAGCACGACTCCACGGCTTCCTGCACCAACACAGGCCAAGAATACAGACACAACATGCTGGGGTTTATGGTTTAACAGTGAATCATCATTTGTCTGTCAGAAATGGATGATTAAAACAACTTTCATTTTCAATTAATATTTTTCTTTGTAATTCATCCTTTTTTTTTTATTCTTCTTGCTCTGATGTGCATTAATCTCATGCAATTAGATTCATTTTAATAAAGATGAAAAAGATTCATATATTCTTTAGCGTTGGTGTCCAATGTCAGGGTCATCCTAGTTTTAGATGCTGCAGAACACCGGTTCGGTTGGACTGACTTTAAACACCACTAATCATTAGCATGAAATATGTGAATCTGATGCAGGACGTCCTCCTCCTACAGCAGACCAGCCTCTAAACATAATGCATCCTGAACATATTTGCTGACAATAAAAACCTGGTTGATTAATCATTCAGATCTAAGAAGTACTCCAGTAAGATTGTAAGTAAAGCACATTAAACACTTAATGATTTATAAGGTATTATTTAAAGTGGATACCTTGAATAAACATCTAAGAAAGCAAATACATAGAACAGTAAGTCTGTAAATAGATGTGTTTAATCATGCTAGAAAATATACAAGAATGTAAGTTAGAAATAAGTGAATAGATTAAATAGACGGATGTAAAAACATGCAAGTCATTTTAAGCAATTGTAAAAGTGAGACAACAAGGGAAAATCTTTTAATTAAGAAAGCCTGTGTGTAAAGAAATAATTAAATAAAAACATATTTGTAAGAAAAAATCAGAAATTATCAAAAATGTCAACAAGGACTTAATTAGATAGGTGAATACATAATGAAACAACTAAATAACAGAAGTGTAATCTAAGTAAGAAAGCAAAATAACAATTAGGTTTATTAGTAAGAAAAAAAAAAACTTACGAAGAAAAATTTACGATTGTATTTCAATACTGAAGTCAACTTTGTTATTAAAGAAGTACCTTTATTATTCAATAATTAGGTACATAAATTAATATAGGTAAGTAAATAAATGCACACATAAATACAAAATATCTAATCAAATACGTAATAGAGAAGGTATCTGAGTGCTGAAAAATGTATTTATGTAACTATGTTATTCAATAGGCCGGTTACTAATAAATGCTGCTTACCTGAATGTCTCTGGCTCTCTCATAGGACTGGTAGGCCACCTTCTCCTCCATACTGGCCAGCTCCTGTTTAAGGTTGGTCATTTCATTCTGGTGCAGCTCTGTTAGATCATTCAGCTGCTCTTCAAGTCTTTCATACCTGAACATACAACACAACACACCAAAGGGCCGCTTTAAGAATTATTACATTAAATATATTACCTATTTTCATTAAGATGTTTCATAAGTGTTCTCAGATCTCGGTGCTCCCAGGTTTTCTGTGTGTATCTGTAAATGGTATCCAAATAATATCTTTTTTTTTGTCACTGAATGACCTTCTGACATTTCGCTTTATTACACTGAACACTGATGTTGATCCCCAAATCCCCACAGCAATAACTCGCTGAACAACAAAAGTAGTGTTAATCCCCTAACCAGGGTGCTGCTCCCTCTGCACGTAAACATTTACTGAGGTTAAGAACAGAGTTTTGATTAGATTTGTTCCTGACTCTGTGATCTTATTTCTGAAAGCTTTGTGAGGACCTTCCTGCAGAGCAAAGATGGAGGTGGGTGTGTTTACTTCTACCTATATCTCTCCTCCTGCAGGCACTGCGACATGTAGGAGTAGTCACTCTGCAGCTGGCCCTTCATGTCCTCGATGGCGTCCTCCATGTGCGTCTGGCTGGCCTTGATGTCCTGCAGCCCCTCCAGTAGGGAGTCCCATGAGCTGTGCATGTGATGGTGGTGGTGGTGGTGCCCGTCCAGTCGGGGACTCCCCATCGTTGGCCCTAACACCCCTCCTCCTCCTCCTCCTGCTCCGGCCCCACCAGAGTTACTGCCTGCTCCAGAGCCAGATGTTGCGCTGGAGCACTCGTCATCACTGCCGTACTTTGGACTGGACACCAAAGTCGCGCTCCCGCTCAGGGCTCGGGGTGTGGGGGCGTCCTCAGAGTTGCCCCCAACTCCGTCCTCAAGCGAGTCCTTCAGGTGAGCGATATTATCTGCACTGCCAAACTTGTTTCTGATCAGGCTGGCGAACTCTCTGGGCTTGGAGACCACGGCCGTGTGAGTGAGGGCCGAGACGCCGCCTTTGACCCCCTCGACCACCCCACCACCAAACCCGCTTATCCCAGCACGAACATTGGCCCTCACGTCCTTTAACCCCTGCTGCATGTCCCGGAGGACATCCTTGGGCTGCCGGGCTGGTCCATTCTGCACGGAGGGAAGAGAGAGAAGTTAGCAGCAAAGTGGAGGATCTCTAAAGCAGGCATCCACAACCTCGTTCCTCGAGGCCCGCTGTCCTGCATGTTTTAGAGGCTTCCCTGCTCCAGCACAGCTGATTTTAACTGAAAGCTGATTAACAGGCTTTTGGTCTACTGCAATCATTAAAATCAGCTGATAAAATCAACCTCTAAAACCTGCAGGACAGCGGGCCTCGAGGAACAAGGTTAGGGATGCCTGCTCTAAAGAACAGAGGTCATTAAGTTTAAGAAAGACAGAGGAGGAGAGAAGCCCCTGAATAGAGTTAGGCAAGATAAAAGACCATGCAGCGATATAAGGGAGTATGGAGAATAGTCAGTTATTAAAAAAACAGGACGACTTCAACAATAGGTTTTATACTGATTTCATATTAATCCTATCTTATATTTCTCTGCAGAAAGGGAAGAGACTGGATCACAGCTAAACAAAAATAGCTTTTTACTACAAAATGGGTTTTTTTAGCAGAGGAAAAACTGAAACCTAACCACTAAAAGCTAGTTTAGCCCGCTGCAGATCAAATACCTTCTTGCAGCCCTCTACCAGTCTCCCTAGAACCAGTATCAGGACAGCTTGTCCCACTCCTCACTTTGAGCTGGAAGATGTTCATGCATTTACATCCGATCAAATCTGAACTTTGACTAGGCCAAGGCTTCTCCTCTTCTAAACTCTCCACCTCTTTTTGATTTTTTCAGGCCTGTATTTTCATATCAATAGTAGCGAAAGCCTACTGTGGGTAACATTCTGGGACAATGATGATTTCGAGAACCTCTGCTCTCAGAGTAAACTTTCTCAGACAGTAAGATCTTCACACGTTATCAGTTTAATTTTATCTCCTTCTCCGTGGACTCATTTTCATTAAGAGCTCTTTAAACCCTTTGCAAACTCAAGAGCTTTCTAATTTTCAAAAGAACTCTTATGAATGTGTTCAATAACATCCTCACTCAGTCAGGAGGGCACCAAACTAAAGTTTTCAACAGGAGAAACATTCACTGATGTTCTCATTGTTCATACGATTTTATTCAATGTAGGAGGGAAGAAATGGGGGGTGTCTTAAATTATTCCTCCCAGAGAGCATTTTTGCTACATTTAAACAGAATTTTTAATGTTTTACAGTAATAAGCAGTAGCGCCGCTAAATGTAGCGAAGCTATTAGTTTAACTACATGTTCCAGTAGCTTGACTGTAGCGTCGCTGCTTTATTTATCAAGTAACTTTCCTGTAGTGACGTTATTGCTTTGATCAAGAATGTAGAAATTAAATTATACAGTGAGACATAAATATATGTATCACTTAATTAGCTTCTTTATTTTTTCACCTTCTTTTGTAAACAGTTTCATTTGTTACTTGAATCCACTGTTTAAATGAGGTCTGAAGAAGTTTTCTCTAAGGGAGACCCTAAAGAAATAAGATGGCTTTTGTAGGGTTTTGTTTTCCCTAGAGATGTCCATTGAATGCAAACTCATAGCCATGTCTCCATGTGTAGAACACTACACAGTACCTTTAATTTGGTTCTAGTAACAGCAAATTGTTTACTAGTTTGTCTACTAGTAATTACTTCAGTTTTTATTTTAATATGCTGATCATAAAGCAATGTTTACACTATGATATGTCATTGGCTGATCTTTAATAAATGTTTTAACTAGTGTGTCAGACTCATTTTGAATTGACGTTAGCTTGGTACAACGTTAAGTAGCTTCTGATGTAGGTAAGCTACTGTTAACACATTAGTGTAACTTAGCTTGCTATAAGTTAGTAACCTAGTAACACTAGTGTAACTAGGTTACACTAACTTAGCTTGGTAGCTGTTGTGTAGTAAAGCTTAATTTATTGTTGAGTAACTGATAGCTTAGCTCACTACACTGGACAAGTAGCTTGCCCAACACTGATGTTTTATTTATATAAGGTGAATCTTCAAATATTGTTAAAATGGAAATACCTCCACATGTTTGATATGATAGAAAAAGCACACTAGCTTCAGCAGGGTGTGGTCTTATTTCTCTCAGTGCACAGAGATTTAGGATTCAGAGCAAACAGCATCACAGGTTGATCAGCCGTACTCACCTGCTCTATCTCCTTTAGCTTCTTATGATAATGCTCTAGCTTCTTGTGCAGATGTGCGATGGTCTGTGCCGACTTCTGGTTCTTCTTCTCAAACACCTGCTTGATCCTGGAGGCCTGCTGTTTGTCTGCGTTGTGGGCCAGCTTCAGATACTCAGCCACGTTATCGTCCCTCGCCTCCTGCTCCACGCGGATCTGCTCGGTGACTTTCAGGATCTTCTGCTGCAGGTGCTCTAAAGCCACACGGGTCCGCTGGGGCTCGCCGGCACTCGAACCCTCCGCCCCCCCTACTGCCCCGGCCGCAACCACTCCTGATCCGTCCGTGCTGATGTTGCTGTCAGAGCCTCCATGGCTGGTGTTGGAGGGCAGGCCTAAGGTTGCCACCTCACTCTTGTCCAGCTGAGGGGAAAGAAGCAGAGAGTGAGGAAGTGATTAGAGGGATGGAGGTGGTGGTAACTGAAATCTATTGGACAACAGTTCATTTGATCATGATGACACCCCAAACACCTGACCCATCTGCATTACTAAATTGTATAAAAATGCAAAAAACATTGAGTTTGTGTCTGGAAATTAATTAAAAACTGAGATGAGCTTCTTTAGAAGCAATACTTTTGGAGAGACCACAGATGATTTAAGGTCTTCAGATCGCATCAGGCCTATGGATTAGTATCATTTGCTTTATCTTCACTTTGTTGTACAAATTGCATTTATCAGCTGAAACTGGCTCATCTAAACAGCCGGCAAGCTTCCTGAGAATTAAAATAAATGATGATTAGAAAACATAAAGTGGGACTGTTTCAAATTGGATTAAGCAACGACAATTAGCTAGAATGATGGCGGTCAGAGTGAGGTCTGGTCAAACTAAAAAAACATAAAAGGAGAAGAGAAAAATTTTTTCAAGAAGTCAGTAAGTATTTTGTTTTGGAGAAATATGCTCAAATATCATCAAAAGGATGTTTGAAGATGAACTTCTAAGGATTTCTTTGGTATCCTAGAAAGAAATGATTGATGTTTGAGCAAAAGATCAGCGCATGAGGGAAAGAATGTGTAAAATATATCAATATCTTTTACTGCAGTTGCATAATCTCAACCTAAAAATGTTCAGTTTAAATTATTTACAGAGGTAAAGTACCACAGAAAGAGGAAGTGCTATATTAATTTGCTCTCCAAGGAATCCCTTAGACTAATGGAACCAAATCATGTTTTTCAGATGCTTTACTTCTCTAGTTTTATCTCTGCTGTTTCATGAGGGTAAAATGATGCCTTTACAGAACTCTTTTAACTCTTCAAAATGGAAACACAAAAACACAGCATGTGGTTGATCAGTATGTTTAAAGAAAATCTTGATTATTTCATGTTTTACTTCACTTCCTGTGAATCAAGTCGCCACTATTTAAGCTGCCCTCTTTTGTCAACATCTCAGATGAACTCCATGCCTACGGCTTCCAAAACAGTTATAGACCGTGAGCATTACACCCATTTGCAATCAGTCTTAGAAATTACATATGAGTTTACTGAAGATGTAGCAGGGATTTTGCTTCTTTTTCAAACAAATATATTTCAAACAAATATGAGTAAACTATAGAGTTAATCTGTTCAATACAAGAAGAATCAGATTCAATTTTTAAAGCGAAAAAAAAAAAAAGCCAGTCAGAATATACCTAGACTGAAAAAAACAACTCATAAGATCTACTTAAAAAATATATTGTAAGTATTTGCACGCAAATTATTTAATTAAAATTTAATGCTGTGATATCAAGTAACTCACTTGCCAGGATCAAATGAATTTTACTTTCTATAAGACACAACAGTTGTGAAGACATTAAGTAATATTTACTTAATCACATCCAAGTTGTTAGATTTATTTAAACAAGTTAAGTAAAGCATACTTGTTTTTCATAAGCACAAAATTTAAGGCAAAACAGAGACACACAATCATTCACTCACACGTAAAGAGAATTTAAAGAAGCCATGACCTAACAGTCATGTTTTTAGACTGTGGGAGGAAGCCGGAGTGAACCCAAAAAGAAAACAATAGAAGGTTGGAAGTTGCCTAGTCAAAGTCTGGACCTAAATCGTGATTATAGAGCCTGTTGACGAATCACTACCCTTTATACAAGGCTGAATTGAAACAATTGTAAGGGAGGTAGGTGCTTTCTTGCAGAACTGTAGCTATATTTGTCAAATCAGGAGCGTTTTAAAGAACCGAAAGGCTGTTCCGCAGAAACTGAGACAAAATATCTGCTCTTCTCAAGAAAAATGTATGAACCATGCAGGACATCAGAGGTGAGCAAATTGTGATGCAGTCATAGTGAAATTGCAGATCTTGTAGAAGTTTCCCGGACTTCAGCTTCCTGACAGCTACCAACCTAAAGCAGTAAATAACGGAAGTCTCAGAAAAAAAGAAAAAAAACAGAAACTACTGAAACTGATAAAGAAAGCCAGGCCATTAGTGACCTTCTCACTGCAAGGCAACAGTGCTACAAACCGCCCCCCTCCAGTAGAATTTTTTTTTTCATAAATTCACCCGAAAATCTCTATTCCTGAAACCTTAAATGCTTAAGTGAATTATTTTTGACATAAAAAAATCTTACAGTACTGAGCCAAAATGGCTGCCAACATCTCTTTAGACTGACACCTCTTTTATCAAATTCTGTCCATCTATGGTCTCCTTAGACCCAACCGTAACAGAGGTAACAATAAATAATACTGATGGAGAAACACTTGACATAACCACAGGAAACGCTCTGCTGAATACATATTGTTTTGGTTGCTGTTCTCACATTTAAACTTTTAAGTAAGAATCTATAGCATTATTTCATTAATCAATATATTTAGCCATCCATGTACATTTCCATGAATGCTAAGTGAAAAATATTAATATAGGGTTAATACGTTCTAAGTACAAACTAAGTTACTTTATGTTTGACTGCTCTTTTTGAATATTCAAAATGTTACCTTTCTAGAGAGACCAGGATTTATGAGCTGTAAATGGGTTCAAGAACAGGTTCTGATTTAATTTTGGTGTTCAGTTTACAGGTGCTTTTAGACATTTAAAGGGAGATTTTATATAAGAATAAAAATGTGAAGGGCTTGTCATCAGTAGTTATGTATGGAAAGCCCCAAAATGAGTTATTTTTAACCAAGATGACCTGAGAATCACTGACAGCCAAAAGCTTTTTTGCATGAAATATGAGCAGAGTTCTTCTAAATTAAATCTGACAGATCCAATATATTACATTTTATTATAATTTGCTTGAAAAGAGATTTAGATTTTAAGGGAGCCTCTCTACTGAGATATGTATTTCTTTCTTTGTTATACCTAAAACCGAGTATAAAAATGTGTCATATTTACTTTAATTTTAGTAATTATATAATGGCAAATTTATCTTCTGGAAAAAAAGAATAATAAACATTTTTTTTTTCTAATGATAAATTAGAAATATTTGAATAAATAAAAATGACATCTCACTGTATAATCAACAGATAATCTTAAGGTATCAACAGGGCAAAAGCATTATTTTAGGTTAAGGTGACTATTCTCATCAGAAAAGACTAATTTTTAGGCCAGGGTAAAATCCCTGAGTACCTAAAATTAGTTTATTTCTGACCTCTGCTGCAAGGAGCTATAATTGATTTGGTGGAGAGTTCAGAGAGTACAGAGAGTGGCTATTATTCATTAATTAGATGAAACATTCCTCCCAGCATACACCCTGAACCTCCGCTAGCAGATTAAGTTATTCCAAATGTCTGTTAGTAAAATAAACCACAGCCAGGGATGGTAGAATAAAAATATGCATTTAAAAGTTTCAGATATATGGAAGGTTGTACTGTGCTGCTACATCAAAGATTTCTTTATTACTGTAGTTTTTTTTATTATTATTTTGTCCAATGTAAACTTTTTGGATCATTAAACCAAGTGTCATAAGATAACCAAAAAAGAGTTGCGTTAAAGTGATGGTTTACACTCAGGCTTCATTATTGCCGATCCTACAATCAAGAAACCACTTTAATTAAACCTATCTGACAACATGAAGCAGGCTTAAAGAACTTAAAAAGCAACGGCTCATGTAAAATCATATCACTTAACGAAACACAAGAGCTTAGAAAAACTTTGCTAATTACTATTAGGTAGCAAAGCTGCACAGTGGTGCTGGCCTGCTGCCTTGCAGCAAAAAGGTTCTGGGTTGGATTCTGAGCCAGTGGTCTTTCTGCGTGGAGTTTGCATGTTCTCCCTGTGCATGCGTGGGTTCTCTCTGGGTACTCCCACTTCTCCCGCTGTCCAAAAAAATGACTGTTAGGTTAACTGGCTTCTCTAAAGTCTCCTTGAGAGTGAGGTGTGTGTGTGCGCGGTTGTTTGTCCTGTTTGTCTCTATGTTTCCCTGCAATAGACTGACGACCTGTCCAGGGTGTACCCCGACTCCATTGACAGCTGGAGATATGCACCAGCACCCCTCGCAACCCCAGCTGGAATAAGCATGACGGAAAATGTATGCATGGGTAGTTTCCGGAAGCCACAGTGGGAACCTTTTTCTGCAGATTGAGAAAACATGATTTACCATCCCAGTGGAGGCCAGCCTACCCGAAATAACTCTAGAAAGCTACAACAACTCATTCAAGAGGCCATGAAAGCACTCAGAGCAACATCTAAAGATGGAGACCTGATTTAGTTAAGGCACAGCTGTCAGGTCTCCGGTTTTGGTCTGTAAAATACTGTATTTTATCCCTCTTTTCCAACGTCCTCATGTATTAACAGTCTCCAGAAAATTTCCTGTACTATTGTTTAATATAATTATATATATAAAAAAAACAGGATCTGCCTTTCCAAACAGAACTGCCTCTAGCAAGGCAAGTCAAACTTTAATCACCTTGTTTTAGTTTGTAACATGATAGCAAGTGTTTATTTTACATTTTTTTGTGCATAAGTCTTAAAATCCAATGGGTACTGGGGCTTGGCTGGGATAGTCGGGCGGCTCGCAGTGGATGTTGTAAAATTTTCCATATTTTTAAATATGAAACCTGATGATCAAAGTTGGAGATATATAAGTTATTGTTTAACAAACAAACATAAAAATCCTCCACAAAATTCCAGATCAGGATTGTGAAAAAAAACAAAAATGAATTTTTATTTTGGAAAATATTCAGTTGAGCAGTTCAGATACATCTGATCTAAAACTAACACAGCATTAATGGGGGGGGGACATTATACAAGTCCTCTAACATGGCGTAGGTAGGGTGATGGTCTGTGGTTCTTTGCTTCTCCACAACTTGGACAACTTGTCATAATTGATGGAAGGAAATATTCTGCTCCCCAGCAGGAATTGCTAAGAAAAGCTGACTTACTATGCTGACGTCCACATTGGGGTGGATATAGCATGTTTTTTTCCCCCCCTAATAAATGAAGCCATCTTTTTAAAAAAGAAAAGTTTTTTTTTTGTATTTCCTCCTCTTATTTATTATATTTTTGTATTTGTTTTTTTAATTTTAATATTTCTTATTCAAATTTCCTCTTATTTATTCCTCTTACATTGTTCTGAAAGCGACAGAACGTTGTAAGGGGGGTAAAAACTTTTTCATAGCACTGTATAAAATCCAGATCATCATTTTCATATTTAAAAGGATGACCAGGACATAAACCAAACACATAATCAACCAATCATGCATCCATGTGGGTTTCCCATCTCAGACTAGTCTAAAGAGGTGATCTGTAGCCTGGCAGATGTGTGCGTGTGTTAGCTATTGTTAACAACTCTCATGTCACAACACTGTAATCAAATACTGTCAACATGAGCTCAAACAGACATGATACAAAAAAATCCTAACCTGCTGTTTGGATATTTGCACAGCTTTGGTTTATTTCAGTAGAGCCCTGCAAAGCATGCAGGTTTCTTTTCCTTGAATCTAGGTTGCAATCTCCCAGCACCATGGAGGAAAATAACAAATGACTGGACTCCCTGGTGATTAATCATGTCCTGATCTTTTCTGAGTAAGTGAGATGTTTCTGCAGCAGCCATGCGATTGCTCGTATAGTAGGAGGTGGTGATGATGGTGGAGGCGGGGGTGCTGTCCAGCTTTGGGTTTGGGTGTAAACAGACAGCATGGAGGAGGGGGGGGAGACCGCGACGTGTCTGGAACATCTAAAATACATCAAAAGTGATGGATGAGGGATCCTGGTGGTGGGCTGTTGATGATGAGGGCTGGGATGGAAGCATGGAAAACATGAGGGACGGGCATGCCTAAGCCTTGAAAACACGAGGGAGGGTGACACACAAGCGGCACAGCGATAAATTAAATCAGAAACGTTACCATACTGCTTTAATCCAATTTTTGCAGAGCCATTGCAAGGCTGTCTTCCAGGCCCATCCTCCTCCTTCTCTTCCTCCCCCCACCCCCCTCCTCAAATAGAGTATCTGCACCCTCTTCCCCAGCCGCTTGCAGGCGGACCAGCACCTTCTCTGGATCCTAAAGCTCCATTGTTGCAGCCATCGATTTCTGCTGCCTCCCTCTCCCTCTCTCGGTGCTCTGATCTATTTTCCTCCCTCTCTCTCTCTCTCTCTCTCTCTCTCTCTGCCTCTCCCTCAGAAGTTTGCCTCCGCCTCCCTCTGCTTTGCTCTCCACATGCAAACGCTGTAGCCGAGCTGCCCTGTAATGGATGAAGGAGCTTGGGGACAGATGGATGGAGAGGAATCTGGTCTGGGAGGGGAGGATGGGGGGAGGGGAGGGCTCAGCGCAGGCGTGCAGGTGCTCCTGTGCGGTGGAGGCAAGAGAGGGGTTGGGATGGAGCACAGAGAGAACTAGAGCCCCTTTAAACCATCATCAGAGACACATAAAACCTACTGTATGTGGTGCCAAAGTAGCCAGCAGTTCCGCAGTGACTCCCCCTCTTGTTCACTAAAGACTGAAGGTGTCACGACAGGAGCCTTTGGGAGGGATGCCCAACTTCATGTTGATGGTTGTGGTGTAGTTTGGGGTGTCAGCGTGCCTCTCTGTTGGCAGAAATAAGGTAAAGGTTGCTAAAAGCAAACAACAGCTTACACTTCACATTTTGTTTGGTGACAAACACATCTGTGTGCTTTACAGGGGTTTCATCTGAGAGAGCAACACAAAGTTGAGCATACAGTAATATGATTCAAAGAACATTTTGAATGTTTTTCTAACATTTGTTATGATTAAAAAAAAGAAGAACATTTGCTTTAATAATCACTAAATAAAACTCATTGCCTCCAATTGTCATGTCAAATCACCTAATCAATATTCAGAGGCAGTCTGTGTGTAATCTGATTTGTTTGAAGGCCTTAGAGTGTTACTCGATATAAAATCTAAAAAAAAAAATAGTAAGGATCAGCTTGAATCTTTCCAAATAGAACTGATTCCCTAAGGAGAGTATTTTATTAGGGAAGCAGCCAGGAGGGCCAAGATCACTCTTTTGGAGCAGAAATTGTGCAGAAATTCACAACTCGGGTGAAATCACCAACTAAACTATGCAATCAATAAATCTGGTAAGAAGAAAGTTGCTGAAAGAAAAGTCTTAAATGAAATGGAAAAAGAAATGCTCTTAGATGGGACAAAAATCTCACAAAATGCATGAAAACTAACCCTTCGTAACATCCTGAACACCCGCCTTTTCGACTTTGAAACATCATTCTGTTGGGAAATTTTCCCATGGAGGAGTTTAAAGCTAAAAATAAGCCCATTTAGTTTTGACCACAATCAGAGTAGAGGTAAGATCACATGGAGGACAATACTCTGATTCTGTCAGGGTTTGGTGAAGGTCTTTGGGAACCCAAATGCTGAGATGAGGAGGCAGAGATAAGTTTTGCTGAATTAATTGATAATCCCACAGGGAACTGGAGCAAAAACACAAAATACTGAAAACCAAAAATTCCAGGAAGCATGAGGGAAAACACACATGGGGAGCAACTAGAAGACGGAGCAACAAAACAAGAAATCAGCAATGAGCAACTGCAGAGGTGATGTATATATGGGGAACAGATCAAAGAATGGACTAATGAGCTGATATGAAGCAGGTGTAAATAGACCTAACTAGAAGGGAGCCAAGGGGAAAGGAAAAACAAGGGGGCAACAAAGAGTAACTCGAGAGATTCAAAATTGCATAAGTATAACACAAAAATGGAAAAGAAACCAATAAACAAGATAACACAGAATAACATAAATCAAAAGTGAAACAGAAAACTTAAAAAGGAACTCAAACAGAAGTCCACAAGGGGAGAACCATAACCGATTTGTTGACATCCCATTTGCTTATGTTTGGTTTTATTAAAAAGCTACATGTTGTATCACCTTGAACTCGGCAACCTCAGAGGTGCACAAGCAATTGCATTATTTCAGCAGGGTCGATCTAAACAAATACAATGAATTAAAAAGGCCTAGTCAAAGTCCAGACATAAATCCATAAAAAAAAAAAAAAACAAGACTTCAAAACTGCTCTTCTCAAATGTTCCCCGGCGATTACCACCCAGTAGTTGTAGTTTGGTAAAAACAAATGCACTTTGTTCACTAGGACTGTTTATATTGTGATTATGAGCTTCAAATAGACACATTAGCCATTTAGTATCATTTAGCCAGTGATATGAGAGGTCACAAGGTTAATTTATGGGCTGGAAGCCCTGAGCTTTGCCTCAAACAACAATCTGACTTTTAAGTTGAAGGAATGATGAGCTGCTCACTGCATCAGTCAGAGAGGATTGGTGGAAACATACAGAAACTGTTGCACTGTTTTTCCAATGGGAGGCTCCTATCTTTCTGCTCTGCTAAATCTAGGTGTGGATATTTTTAGACAGGTGGCATGGGACACATCAAAGATTTTGACATTTAGTTTTATCTTTTGTTGAAGGTCACTTTCTACCGCAATGAGTTTCCTAAGTTCATCCTAAAAACCTTTGAATTCAAAATTTCTACATGAACTCAACGCTGCATGACATTATAGTACTTTTGTTAAAAAAAATAAATAAATATATATATATATATATATATATATATATATATATATATATATATATATATATATATATATATATTGTAAATGTCAGTTCTTTGTTTTAAGCTGAATCAATGCTGTTACTCCTTCTGTACAGTAGGGGGTGCTGTAGCTCAGTTGGCAGTAAGCTGCATGTGAGTAAGAAAGTTTGTTACCTTCCTGTCAGTCAGTGCTCAGGGCTTAATATCCCACAGACGAGAGGATGAAAGAAGGCACCTTTTTTTTGTTTGAGATGAGGACTTGGTGCATGTTTGTCTGAATGCAGCTTGATGAGGCTCGTTAGCAGCAGACTTTTTGGACCTAGAGCTAAAAACTTTGCAGCCCTTG